GAACATATATTTTGTCTGGATACAAATTAGTGTGTATAATACTAGTAATATTATTAATAAATTGAGCAAGGAATTATTAGAGTTTGAAAAAATATGCGACGACCCTGATGCCTGTGTCGAAATTGATATATTAAATAGGGCAGTACATTTATTTCAAAATAAGCGTGATTCTCAGTTGTTTAATGTTTGAATTGTACATGATAATTAGAGCGATTAAATAATCATACCTATTGTAGATTAATTAATTGTTTATTGTAAAATTTTTAATCTCTACTTATTAGTCATTTAATTAATAACGAGTTTATCTATTTAATAAAATAATAACTTATTATTTCAAGTGAACATTTACAAAACTAAATTATTTTACGTTTAAATATTAATATAATTTAATTCACCTATTTACTATTTTCAAACATGTAATAGATTGTATAATACTCATATTATCGTATAATACTAGAATCAATCAAACAATAAATAATTAATAATTATTTTAGAATAAATAATTTAAAATTAAATTTTCAAACTTTATAAATTTTATCAAATAAATATTATACAATAAATAATATGCTAATAATCACCACAATGTGTGAATAATTTAAAAATAATAATTTTTTGAACCAATTAATAAAATTTACCTATATTTACAAAAAAAACTTATAACAAACATAATATGCGCTGAATGTGAAGATGTAGGCGCGATATTCTACCAGCGCTTGTATACTATAGTATGACTGATGGCGTATGTTATAAAATAAACTACATTTATATTCATAATGCAAAAAATATTTTAATTAATTTGATCAATACAAACTGTAGATATATGTCTCAAAGTGCACTTCACGGCACGACACAAACTTAAAGTATTGCTTTTTTACAGTTTTGAATGACTCAGATAATTAATATTTTCATTCACTATAATGATAATTACAATGCTTATTTATAAGTGAATTGCAGAAATCTTGAAATATATTTACACTTCAACATATAATGCAATGTTTTTCATAGCAAATACATTTTTATAGCACAAATATAATCTTAATTATGTATTCAGAAAATATTATTCTGCGCATAATTTTTAATGCGAAATGTTATACTTGTTTTAGTTACACATTTGAAAGTGACTTAACTTTTCAAAATGTATATGAATTCATGAATATATACTGAAATAAAAAAATATATTTGCATTTTATTAAACTAATAACATGATTTCAAGTGAGTAATATTTTATTTATTATGCAATAAGCTAATATAATTAGTAAAATGTTTGTAGATTAAGTTTGAATACATATATTATGCATTGAAATTTTATCAATAATATTTCAATTGTATGTTATACAAACAACTGTTATTAACAATATTATATTTTAAATAATTCAAATTTCACACAATTTATATGAATTTAATAATTATTATTTAAAATGTTTGAATACGTGTTCATTATTTTCGGTATTAACTGTTATAACAATACTGTGCGACAAATACTAACCGGTGTTACGACAACAATACTAACGATGTTTATCATACAAAGCTTGATCACTTTAATTATAGCAAGAAATGTCACCCAGATAATGTTTACATTGATACCACTTTCAGTTGGTTTACTGTTGTTAATATTATATACTATATTATATAGTATATTGGTAAAAATCCGTGAAAATAATATATTCAACTTTTATGGTGAGTTAGTGTCGTACCAAAAATCACACGGTATTTATACCTATGGATGTGAATTACGTCGGTTAATGGCAACAGTAATCGTTGTAATCTCAACGATTATAATGACAATCATAATCCTTCAAGAACCAATTTTTGATTGTTTATAAAATTGTCAAGGTGCCAATTGAGTTTTCTCAGCGCATGCTCATATTTGCTCACCATATATTGGGCTGGATCCACATGATACAATTAATATATTTTGAGCTAAATATTAAATTTCATGAAATAATAAATAATTATTATGCCGTGCTCGTTGGAATTAATTATGGCCCAGCTAATAAACCTACAATAATTGACGTAATTGATGCTCAACGTAGCTTACATTTGTTTATACACTTTCAATCTTATCTGGATAAAAATTTAAAATTCCTTAAATATATCATTTATGTTTTATTTACAGTTTTAAATATTGGAGTTTTGTATGTATATATTTTGTTTTGTCAATTACATGATTATAGCATGGTAATAATTATATCAATATTTTGTATAATAATGAACTTATATTTTGTCTGGATACAAATTTGTCTTTATAATACTAATAATGTTATTACGAAATTGAGTACGGAATTATTAAAGTTTGGACAAATATGCGATGACCCTGATACCAGCGTCGAAATTGATATCCTAAATAGGGCTATACATTTATTTCAAAACGAGCAAGCTACTCCATCATCCTGTGTCTGAATTGTACATGGTATATATTGCATACTAATTAAATAAACACACTATATTAGACTAGTTATTGGTTGAATTTAAAGTTTTTAATTTGTACTTAATATACTTTTATTAATAATTAGTTTATCAATCAAACTATATCATATTATTTCAACTAATCCTCATAATAATACTGTAATAATAATAATTATTATTTTATTATTACTGAATGAAATAATATCTATATATTAGTGAACTTAATATACTTTGATGGTAATAGTTGAGTAAATAATATACTCGTACTGAATATAATAAAATTGAAACAATAAATGATATATTCACATTTTTACAAAACTATCAAATAACTATTCCACAAACCATTTAGAATGTAGTATAAAATTGTAAATATTTATGTTACTCATAATACTATGCATGTATAAATAATAAACAATTGCAAACTTTATATTATGCTAAAAGTTAATTTTTATTGAATACAAAGAAATACAAATTAAAAATTTAGAAATATTTTTAGAATTTAGCTCATGATAATTACCATGGTCAGTGGGCACGGCATGTAAACTTGTATCAAGCTAACAATTCTTGTCGTGCCATTGGTTGACATACATCTGCCGCAACCAATCGTTGCCCACATTATGACAATCGGAGTCCGAATACAACTCGTGTCGGGAATCCTGTTTCAGAAACCCTTCGTATATCTCTCGCGGGATAAAAGTCTTATTATAATCTCCGTAGACATACAACTGTACCGGCTGTCTAATACCCTCAAATGCATTCAGATAATACACGGGATTAACAAAATTATTATAATCCAATTTAATCTCAATCGGATTAGTCGTGTATGGACTCACGACAAATGCCCAATCTGAAATTTTATAGACATTGTTGTGACTCAGGTCCAGTTTACTCAGCAAGGGCATATCTTGAAAGGTTCCGGCAATATAACCAATTCTATTACCAAATAGTGATAATTCTAATAAACGCTCCAATTGTAACGATTCTGGTATTATAGCAAGGTTAGTTTTGACGATTTGCAAATACTCTAGATTTTTGCACATTTTAATTGCCCAGAATAGTTCGGTTCCATTTGGATTTAAACTAGGTAGTTCCGATATATGCAATGTAGTTAATGAGTCGGCCGATGCATTAAATGCGTCAGGGTGAATTCGGTGCACGTCACTTAAATTATCTATATAAATTCGTTCAAATGATATATCAGCGAGGTCTTCGGGTGCTAATTGCCAAATGTTTTTGATGTTTTTCAATTCAAGTCGCTCGAATATTTTGCTTTCATTTTTGAGGTCCTTGCTCAGTTTGCCAAATACCTCGGACAATTTATGCACGGTAATATTACCGTCACAAATAATGTGGTTTGATGAGCCAGTGTCAAATTTGCATGGTGGTAGTAATTCAATCTGTGACAAAGTGCTTGCTATAACGCTGTTAATTAGTATGGTTATTATAATTGTAGTTGATGCTATAGTAAATTAAATTAGAAAATACATTTTACATTAATAGATTAAAGGTATTTAATTATACTTTAATAATATTTACCCATTTTCACCAGTAATACAGTATTTAATATTGAAACAATAGTCGGGTAATAACCTTTTGAATTGTTTGTTAATGAATATTTTGTTTGCAATTGAGCATGAGTTTATATACAATTTATTTTTGGTGGTAAAATAACTAAAATCTATTTCCATAGGTGTAAACAATTCTTAATAATTTAATAATTTAACATTAATTTGACATTTCATGTGAACACTTATAAAACTAAATTATGTTATGTTTTAATATTAATCCTATTAATTCACCTATTTTCTATTTCCAAACATGTACTAGATTGAATAATTCCCGTTCGATTATAATTGATAACCTTAATTATAAATAAATAAATGAAATGAAAATAATAACAAGTTTATTTGTAATTGAGAATGTGTTTAGAAGGCATTTATTTTTGTGATAAAATAACTAAGGTCCTTTTTAATAGGTGTAAATAATTCTTAAAAATTTGATAATTTAATATTTCCAGTGAACACTTACAAAACTCAATGCGGTTATGTTGCAATATAAATGCGATAAAAATAGTATACTGATTTGTGCAAATAATCAATGTGAATTGATATTGATAAAATGTGCATATGACTTTTATGCTTGTAAAAGTGTTGTAGTTGTATGATACAAAATAGAAATTAAATCATTAATTTTTTTAAAAACGTATTTAATTATATGAAAAATAAATAAATAAATTACAATAGAAAATGAATTTCTATACTTAAAAATACTTGGTAATAAATCACACCTTGGTTACATTTTATGAACATCAGATAACGTTGCACTATGTATTCTTGAATAATTGTATCCATTTTTATCGGTAATATTAAAATATGATAAAAAGTGATTAAGTTCAATTTCATAAATTTTAGAAAAATATGTAATCAATATCTAAGACGACCTTTGTTATTCTATGAAATTTGATATAATGTATTTCTTAGGAAAAACTCTACACATTTATTATGTAATAGCTTGTTCATAGAAATTTACCCGGATATAATATTCATCAAATAGTATATAAAGATTTTCAAAATTAGTCCAGACATTATAGACTTGAAATCTATTTGTTTTATACAAGTATATTAATAATAATTTATTTGAAGTGTCAAATTATATTAACTAACCATGGTTAATATTAACCTTATTGTTTTTTCAGTAGTACTGTGTATAGGACTCACACATTGTGTAAAAGACTCAAAAGTGGTTTGTTTTTACGAGAGTTGGTGTAAGTATTATATTATAAATATAATCACCTAAAATTTAATGCAAAACTACATTCATCACTTTGTATTTTCTATACCTAGTTGCCTATCCTAGTCATGGCCATGGCGCAATGAGTGTAAAAGATATCGGTAAGTTGGCAAAATAAAATTTCTATTATTATCAAAAATTAATGTTAAATTAATTTTAATAGACAGTACAGCATGCACACATTTAGTTTATGGCTACGTTGGTGTAGATACCGGCGCTGATATTAAGATTCTCGATGACACCTTGGTCAAATATTACTGTTAGTAATAATTTTAATTTATAATTAATAAATTCAAAATAATTTCTACATTTTAAAGTCAATGAATACATATTTAAATCTTTAACTTACCCTGATATAATTAATTTACAGACCAGTTCGACCAGTTACCTAAAGTGAAGGGCACCGACAAGTCACTGGTAGCCATCGGTGGGTTTAGTCACGCCATAGAAATCGTGGCCGCACTCGACAACCCCTCCCTATTTTCGAGGAACGTAATGGCGTTCCTTAAGAAATACAGTTTCGATGGCATTGTACTCGAGTTCACCAACGGCTGGTCCGTCGACTATATGGATAAATACATCAAATTGGTGTCTGTGCTCCGGGAGGACTTCAAAACTAGTGGATTTGTGTTGGGCTCAGTGCTGGCCGCCCAGCTCCCTGGTTACGAAATTAAAAAAGTGATCCAGTAAGTTTTAAATTTAATTTTAAGTAAATTTTTTATTATTTCATTATTCTGTATGTTAAATTATTTACTTAAAAAATTAGTGAAGTTATACACAAAGGGTTTACTAGTAAGTTTACTAGTTATTAAATAGTTTGCTTATATTTTATATAGTTTCCAGTATAACTTATAATACTGTAATAGGAGTTCAATTTTATTATATTTATGTAATCATATTAAATTTTAAATTACATTATTTTATTATAGACAAGTTGACTTTATTTCCGTGAACACCTTTGACTACAATGGCCCCTGGCATGAAACTCCCCCGCAAACCCCAACTGGACATATTGCCTCGTTGATTGATATTGTAACTATTTAATACATTAAAATTGTATATAATATATATTTATTATTATTACTGTATAAATTATACAGAAAGCATCCATGACAATATGGGCTGACCAAATTGACAAAGATCAAATGAGCAAACTATTGGTGCGTATTTATTTCTAACTGGCTAATAGTTAAAACGAAAATATTTTATAGTTTAAATATTTATTTATTAATATACAACTAGATCTCACTCCCATTTTTTGGCCACACCTGGAAACTCGCTGACCCTACTGACCACGATGTCGGTGCCAAAGCCAGTGACAAAGGCCCTGGTCAACCATTTACCAACACAACCGGTTTAATTGGATTCAACGAGGTTATACACATTATAAACAAAAAATATCAATGCAAAATATATAACCAACATTATTTATGTGAACTAGGTGATGTTAAAATTAAAAGAAGGTGGTTTTACTAAAGTGGACGACAAGGAAGCCTGTTCAGTTTACTTTTATAAAGATGATCTATGGATTACCATTGAGATCGAGGACACCGTTAAGGTTAAGGCCAATTGGGCCACGACTGAGGGTTTCGGAGGGGTTACCGTTAGGGCCATAAATTACGACGACTTTAACGGTTACGTCACCAGTAAAAAACATCCCCTCCTCACGGCTGTTAATGAGGGTATTAACAGAAACTAACTGGGTGTTAATTATAAATAACACGTTATACTTGCTACAAAAAGAAAATTAATTTCAAAAATTAAATATCCAAATTAACAATATGCTAATTTCGTATTTAATTTCAAAAATTTAATTAAATCAACCTAAAATAATTAAATATTATTTTTAAAACAATTTAAACATTTTTGGTCAAAAAATATATATAAATAAATAAAATAAGAATAGTTAATGAAAGTAAATTTTATTTAAAAATTAACGGTATACATAAAGTACGCAAAGGTTAAAAATTTTATATTTAAAAACTATTAGTCAAAATATAACTTAATGCAATAAAAACAATTTATTACTTAATGCTAAATTTATGGGATACAATATAGAATAATCTGAAAATGTTTGTCATCCGTAAATATTTGTATACTAAATTGAATTCAAAAATAATCTTAGAATTTGTTTTTAAAGTTGCTCTATTTAAATTAATTAATAAAATATTAAAATTATCATAATCTTTTAATTTTCTGTCATTATCAATTAGATACGAGAAAATTATGAGAGACCTATAGTTTACTTAATGATGTGTAGACTAAATATTTATTACACCAAAATAAAATAATAATTTTTTTCATATACCTAATTAAATATTTAATTTTTGAAATATATTTAATATATTTGATGAAAACATCATAAATAGTACCATGATAAAATGATAAAATGATAAAATGATAAATGATAAAATAAAATCATAATAGTTTATAATTGTATTATAAATCCAAAAATTTACTCTACAAATGTGTAATTAAACAGGCTATTCTAAAAACATTCATTTTTTCAATAGTTATGCTTCCATTAAATAGTTATTTTTGTTTAAGATAAATCTCTTTTAAAATGACCCTCATTACATGATTCTAATCACATGATCTTGACTATCGCAACAAAAAATAAATTAACTCTTAAAGAAATGCCTTAATAATAACGGTCCGATCTTCGGATAACCTAGATTGGAGGTTCAGTACATTTAGCACCATATGATAATGGCTTACATATTGGTCTACCACAGCAACTGTCGACATCACACACTGATGTCAGTGGCGAACATGACGTGCAATCAGGCAGATCGCAAGGAGCAGGGAGGGCACAAAAACCAGTTCCGTTTAATGTTTTGTAACAACTGCAATCGGTATTTTTTGAACAGCCCGGTGAATACCCGGTGGCACACGTTTGGCCAGTGCATCCTGAAACTAATTGCAACATAGTGAATAAAGTAAAATACACATTGACAGAATTTTGTAACAAACTAACCTTTCCCACCGGCTATACAATTGTAATTCGAATCGCACCGATTTTTACCAACTTGCAACTTGCTCACACCAACTAGAGTTTCGCAATTCGTCAGCTGCTGTTTTCCAATCTTGCTTATTCAATGCATCTTGCATATTTACAAACTGCTTTAGTGTCGCACAACCAGCTAATGCTACGTCAATAATAGCCGCTCGTTTTACTGGCGGTAAACCGGGGGCATATTTGTCGACGCACTGTTCGGATACCTCATACGTGGTGCTAAAAATATCTTTAGCATCCGCGTCGGTCAGGCAGTGGTTGGTCGTTTTATCTTGGCAATCTCTTAATACGTTTTCCAGAGTTAAATTGTACATGGCCATGACTTGCGCGGCATCGCCACGCTCTAAGTTGAAGCCAATACCGATCGTCGGTATGTTTTTCGTGTCGTAATAACAGCACAAACACTCGCCTTCGTTGAACATTGTCTGTTGAGGACCACAGCTGGTGGCCGGTGTCAGCGGCACCTGTCGTCGGCACGTATCGGCCGCTGATATTAGGGTCGTACACAAGAGGACTGTAAGTGTTTTCAACATTTTGAGACAAGCAGGCTTGTACAGTACCAAGTGAAAGTGAAAATTATATGAAAAGTTTTAACGTTTTATACCCTACCATAATGCTGATAAAGTTATTGCAAACAAATTTTGAAATTTAATATGCTGGTTTTCATTGCGTGATATGTGATAACTTTTAAATGTCATTGATAATCAGCGAGATTGACTCAGCTTAATTGGACATATGGTAAGCACTTGATAATTTAACAATTTAAGTAGACACTTACAAAACTTGATGCGGTTATGTTGCAATATAAATGTGATTAAAATATTGTACTAATCTGTGCAAATGAACAATGTGAATTAATATGGATAAAATGATTTTTATACTTGTTAACGTGTTGTAATTGTAATACATAATAGTTGTAGCATTATAAATAGAAATTATATCATTAATTTCACTTATTTCACTATATGAAAAATAAATAAATTACAATAGAAATTTAATTTCTATATTTTAACAAATTTGCAATAAACCACACCTTGGTTATATTTAATGAACATCAGATAAAGTTGCACTAAGTAGAATATAATATTTTTGAACAGTTTTATTAATTTTTATATGATAAAAAGTACAATTTCATAAGCATTAGAAAATAATATAGTCAATATCTAATATGACCTTCCTAATTCTATATAATTGATATAATGTATTTCTTAGCAGATACCTTACACATTTAGTATGTAATAGCTTGTTTATAGCAATTCTACCCGGATATAATATTTACAAAATAGTATATAAAAATGTTCAAATTTACTCCAGAAATTATAGACTTGTACAAAACGTGTGGATTATATATCCGAAGGATTTATTTTGTAAAAAAATTATAACAATACAGAAACAATTTATTTTGAAACACTTGCAATAAATTTATAAATATTATGATCATTAAACGGTCCAGGTAATTTAAACATAATAATAGCCAAACATTTCTGGTCACCCGAAGTTCGCGTAACTCCAGTTTTTATTTTTTTCCCGGACATTTATAAGTTTTGAATAACTATGATTTTATAAGATCAATAAAAGGCTTGTTGTTTACTTAATGATGTGTAGACTAAATATTTATTATAATATTAAGTCTAGTACATAATGAATATAAAAATGATTAAAGACAATAATGATATTATAGGGCAGGCACATTAATTTTAGCATTTTAGCAAGCCTATTGGCAATATTTTAGAAATTAATACACTTCATATAAATGTAGATTATTTTTATATTCACTACTTTGCACACAAAATGGCATTAATTATGAAATACCTTATATCTTATCAGTTCTTATATTGAACTTATAAAATATTATACATATTAATATGTAAATAGAAAAATAGCATCTTAAATATTGGCAAATATTTTAACTGTATTAGTGATTAGTATTTTGTAACAAACAAACTTTTCCCACTTGTGTACGGCCCTAATATCAGCGGCTGATGTGTGCAGAAAACAGGTGTCGCTAACACCGACCGCCAGTTGTGGTCCCCAACAGACAATGTT